GATAGGGGGTGCGAGAAAAAACGAACAAAATAGAAAATTTGAAATTACTAAAAAAAGTGAGGGGGGATGGAGGTAGCAGGGTAGGTGGTGACAAAAAAAACTGAAATTTTAAAAAGAAAAGCCTTTTTGGAGAAAGGGGGTGAGGTGGGGCTGGGTTGGGTGGGTGGGTGTGGGGGTTGGGGAATAGGGTGGGGAAAATTGAGAAAGAGTTTTGGAAAATGTTTTCCCTTCTCTTAATACGGAAAACATTTTCCTCCAATTGGAGGGAAATGAATTAATAAGGAAAATATTTTCCAAAACATTTAAGCCAACCAAACATGGAAAAATTGGAAAATATTTTTCGGAAAATGTTTTCCTTCGTACCAAGCACACCCTTAATTGGCCCTCCGTCACTTGTTTTTTCTTATATTTGTTTCTAATAGTGTTTCTAGCAATATTTTCGAGTTATAAGAAAGTATTTAAAATAAACTCATTTTAGCAGATAAACATGTTATAGTCCGTGCAACTTAAAGTTTGGATGAGTTACACAGTCGTGATCAGATGAGGTGAGCCAAGATGAATTGATGAGCAGCAATGCAACCAGTCTCTCCAATTTTAATTTGGATGAATCATGCAAACTAAACTTTAAAGGATTAATTTGACACCCCTTTAGCTCTATTTCTATTATAATGAAAATCAGGCCAGGCTTCTACTCGTCCATCATAATATAATATAGGAGGTGAATTATAAAGCATTTGCGAAATTATTGGTAGTGAGTTTCTACTCTAAATAGGATGAACAACATATTTAAGTGACTTCTAACTAGAAAAATAGAAAAGAGTAGAGGAATGTTTTTTCCTTTTCTATTTTTATTATTTGGTATTTGAAACTTATTAATCCAGATACACACCAGGTAGGCCACTAAGGGCGTAAAGCACTCCTTGAGAAGTTCTTTATTTTATTTTAAGAATTCAAATTTGAGACATCTGATACTAGTTGTCGGGCTCAACTAACCCTAAGATACTTTTACTATGATGTGCTATTGTCCGCTTTGGCCATACCAGTACGATTTTGGACACTAAAACCAACGCAAGGTCCTTGAAAAATACCATTCTTGTAATTAACCTTCACCAGCTTCAGAATTACAATTTATAATGTATCATATATTCATTTAAATGCATATACTCATTGAATAACCTTCATAATATCCACACGAGTAATTAGCAGATTAATAGGAAAAACATTGTGCTCCAATTCTACGCACGTAAATTAGGGGTGGGCATCGGTCGGTTCGGTTCGGTTATGAATATTATCGGTTTTGCATATCGGTTATCGGTTTACAAATTTGATAAACCGATAACCGAACCGATAAGATATCGATTATCGGTTAATCAGTTATCAATTATTATCGGTTCGGTTATCGGTTTACCCGATAAGATAACTCAATCTAGAGTTAAGCAAAAAGAGAAGACAATTCACTGGAGTTAAGCAAAAAAGAGAAGAATTCGCATATAGTATACTACCCATTTCTGCGTTCTGTCCAGTGGCCACAACTGGAATAGTACTAATTCTTCAACAACAGTTGTCCAAATACATTAATAATAATACAAAGTAGTAGCAATTTCACCTTAAAATTAACAAGTCCAAACATATAGTACTAACAGTCCAAGATAAACTGGATGTTGTTTGTCAAATGCCTAACCTGAAAAAAGAAACCATAGAGCAAAACCTTGATCTGTGCATGGGCAATGCTAACACAGAAATGAAAAACACCTAGAAGGAAAGAAAATGTTGTCTTGTCGTCAAAGCTCAGCGTACTGCACAGAAGAATAATGTTCAAAAATATACCCGAAACTGACGAAGATTGTCGATTGAGAATTGATAAGTGCGAAGAAAAATTGGTAGTAGGTATAGGTTTCACACGTGAGCTCACAAAATTAAGAAACGAAAATAAAAAAATAAAGAATCATTAACAGTCAAAAATACCAATATGAAGATGAATTTGGTTATAGAAATTAAAAGCCTAATGTATAAGACTAAAGACTTATGCTAGGAGTAACTAGTAAGGTCTATGAAGAATGAAGATGAAGATGCGGCTGAGAAAGAATAGGAGAGAATGAACTGAAGCCCTAGCATATGTATATACTTAAGGGTAAAGTCATAATTTTATTAATTCTTATTGGGTTATCGGTTAACCCATTAACAAAATTGGCAAACCGAGGCCCGAACCGATAACCCAATAGTGAAAAAATTCTAAACCGTTACCGAACCGTTAACCCAATAAACCGACACCGATAACCCAATAAACAATTAACGGTTCGGGTTATCGGTTTTACCCGATATATGCCCAGCCCTAACGTAAATACACATCCAGAGAAGCTAACCCCCATGGTCCATAGCATTTGTTCTTTAGCCACATTATATTCTTCCCAAGCAATAAGCAATTCTCACAGGAAGAAGAGTAATTTAGAAATAGTGCTTGGAATATGATTAATAGTTCACTTAACGTTTGGATAACAGCGTTTCCTGAATTGGTACACGTGCATAAATCTGTATAGAGGCTATGATCACTAATTTCATAATGAATTGCAACATGAACACAAATATAGATACAATCACCTCAAACGCTTTTAATAACTATAACAAGATTATAATATAAGGATTATGTGTACGGGTAAAATCGGGGGCAAAGTTTCTCCCGACTCCCCGCTGAGAGAACAAAAGGGAAGCATGGCTTGACGTGATTATAATCAAGGCTAGGAGCCCCTCATATCGAGACCCAAGAAGGATTAACGTGTGTTAGAGGGATTATCAAGAAAATCGACTCAGGTATGTTAAGGATATCCCTTCTTTCTTTTTGGCATGATCTATACGACATGAACGAAACGAGAAAATGCACAACTTCCATAAATGACTCTATTCATATAAATACTAGAGATGCTTATGTTCTTGATTCCCCATGTGTCATATTATTCTATCATCTGTTCATGAGTACCGGGTGCCCGTTGCGGCCCATCGGTTTGGGTCGTGACACAAGCCCTTCTGAAAATCCTTCTTCGCCACCCAAAGAATCATCAGCTACACCATCTATCACACCTTCTACAGCACCCACCTCTAAGAAAGGAAGGTTCAAGATGCTTGCTCGTAAAGTAGTCGCTGAAGGAGAACGAATCAAGAAAATAAATAAGCAAGCCAGGCAGAAGAACCCCAAAAATCTGAAGAATTATTTAAGTCTGCAACTGAAGGGGAAGAAATTGTTTCATCTGAAATAGAGCAGGTAACATATGGTCCTAATATTGCGTCTGAGATAATTTTTGGAGTTGCTGGGAATTTGGAGAATAGATTTGTTTTAGTTGGCACTATTGCTGGGGTAGAGACCATTGAACCTGGAAAAATTGGTGGTAGAAATAAAAAGAAAAAAGAAAAAGAGAGTGAGGGTGCTCAAGGTGATGTGAGGGGAAAGGGAAAATAAGGAGTGGTTGAATCTTCACATACTCCTGTTGGGTCGACTGAGGAAATAAGGGCTATGGTGTTGTAGAGTAAGGAAGATGTTGAGGAGGAAGAAAGTTGGAGAGAAGAAGGGGTAGTGGTCTGGTGATACAAGTGCAGCTGATGGGCTGGTTAGGTTGAGGAAGAGGTTCCAAGAACCTGTTCCTTCTGTGTAGGAACCCCTCGACGGCCTATTGAAACGAGTGTCTGACAGCTACAATCCGGAAAAAAAAAAGTTTAGGAGTTAAAATCCTTGGAACTTCTAGGGCAAACAAGAAGAGAAAAACTGTCTCTTTTATCCCTATAGAGACTCCTCCTACAAGAGGAAGAGCTACAAGGAGTCAGAAAAGGTGGATTGAGGCTGAACTGGAAAGAGCCTTAGAAGAGAGTAAAAAAAAGTTGTTGCAAAGGGAAAGAAGAAAGTGAGTGAGCCTGTTGAGGCAATTGAAATTGAGGAGATTGACCTGGTTCTTCATGACGAAGACAAGGCAGAGGAGGTGGAGGTTGTGACTCTAAAGGAAAAGAAAAAGACTTCCAAAACTAAGTCTCCTTCAAAGATTGTTGATGCAGAGCCTTCTACCTTAACAAAAAAAAACTAGGTTTACCAGAAAATCTAGGAAAGTACAAGTAGTGTAGGAAGAGGAAAGTGAAGAAGAAGAGAAAAATGATGAAGAGCAGGACAACTTGGTGAAGTTTGGTAAAAGAACTATTTTGAAAGGTAGACTCCTCATGGACTTGAAGGAGGAAGAAATGTTGATGCTGCTGGAGAAGCTAGAATGTCAAGGTTGGAAGGACATGGTCCTTCATATGGAAGGAAGACTTG